GCATGGGGCCGTGGCCAGAGCCAACTCTGGAGTGTGAGGAGCTGGCGAGGAAGATGTAGCAGCCAGTTCAAGGGCTTGGGCTGGCAGAAGAAGCACTCAGCAAGCTGGACCCATATCCCAGCCAGTTTAGCCGAGCAGAGTATCCAGTGAGAGCTTCCTGATGGGGGTGTCCCATTGGACAGCTGCCTGAGGACCATGCAGGTCTGTAATTGTCTGGTCACCCATGTCCCCCACCCTCCAGGGCTGCCCCTGACACCCCACTCTCGGTCCCCTGAGCTGATACCCTGCATCCCTCCTGAGAAACCACAGCCCTGCAGGTTGGCTGGGAGGGTGAGCTCACTGCAGGTGAGCACACCTGTGCTGGAGTGCAGTGGGAGTTTGGGTTTTGGTATAGGGAAGAGTCAATCCATTGGTTGGGGGACAAGAAAGGGAAATCACAACCAAACCTTCATCTGGACTGGGCTAAGGATAGAAACAGCCAATGCCTGCATCTTGGAGGGAATGAATCACCATGAGGGTGATGGAGGGCACCACAGCAGGGTCAGGTTCACCAAGCATCCCTCCAGACTGTGGGGCCAGCTTCTCCTGTGTGTAGACTTCACCTATCTCCTGCTGTGTTCTGTGGGTGTGTCAGAGCCCTGATGTTGTAGAAAGCCCCCTCCTTCTGTGCTCAGTTATTTGGTCCATGGATGAAGCCTCTTAACCTCCTCTGCTCTCACCTAAACCTCCAGTATCTCCAGCTGGTCTCCATCACTGCTCCCTGTTACTGCCATACTCTATACTCTTTACAATTAGTTTGGATTTTCCTTGATGTGTGTCCCGGACCAGACACAGGGCTCCCAGTAAGGTCTTGCCGCCAGCAAACACTTCAGATGCCTCATGAATGACTCTCCTTCTCACGCAGCCCTGAGCAACGTTGTCCTTTTCACTGAGTTCAGTGCAGTTGCAGGACTGCCAGACATCCCATATTAAACTGATAGATCCCATATGAGGTTTGATCCCAAAGAATGAGGTTTCTCCTATTTTCTCCTAACTTCCAGCTGCTTTTCCAAGCGTCTGCCTGGCTGCTAGGCATCTGGAAACAGCTCCTGCTCACACAGATAACTGCACCTGCAGAACACGTCCTGCCTGAGGGTTCCACCCCTCTGCATGCCTTGTTTATCCACCTGGGATTTTCCTGGGATTTGGTGTTGAACTCAGACAAGCTGATATTGCTGCCCACTGCTGAGCCAGGCTCTGTCCTGCCCTCCTGCCCACTTGGCAGCCCTGCCCTCCAGCCACTCACCCTCTTCTTGCTGGGCAGATTTGCTTCCTGCCCCAGCCCAGCTCGTGTCCTTTTGAATTGTATCTGATTGTTTTCAGGCCATTTCTCCGATTTGTCAACATCATTTTGAATTCCAGTCCTGTCTTCCCTGGCACCCGAAGCCTCCCCCCATCATCTGAGTGTAGTACATGGGCCCTTTGCCAAGTCCCTGACGATCAGCATTCCCCCGGCTGGGGGGCACAGGGGTTAGCAGGAGAGACTCCACTTTCCCAGTCTGCTGGCAAGCCCTTGGCTGGCTTTCCCATCCTGTTGGCTTGCTTGCATGGTGGCTAGTGAAGTCAGTACAGGAACCCAGGGCATTTTGCTTCTCCTGACTGTTAGCATCATATCCAAGGACTGGATGAGGGGCCATGAGAGGGCAAACTGTAGCTGCATGTGGCCAGGTGCAGGGGCAGATGAGCCCCACTACACACCACAGAGTTTCCCCATGTGACCTTATGCCCCCCATGTGCAGGCACTCAGCCACAGATGAGGGGCTCTGATGTGGAACCTTGGGGACCTGAAGAAATGTTGGTGAAGGGGCAGCACCAGCCATTCCTAGCTCATGCTTTGTTCTCTGCCTTGTCTGAGTAGAAAGCAGTCCCTAAGCCCTACTGCCCTGCTTCCCAAGCCATGCTGCTTCACCACTCACTGCACCTCCACCCCACTGTCTCTGCCAGCATGCTCTCTCTTCCAGAACTCCTGGCTGTGAAGCCACAGTCCTCCCCTCTTCATGGCTTGTAAAATGCCTGCAGCTGCTGCTGGGGATGGGGCTTGTCCTATGGGTGCCACTCACTTGGGCACAGCTTGATCGCAACCTGTGCTGACTGCACTCTAGCTTTGGGTAATTCTGCAAGGGGATGAATCCCCAACACACATTTGCCCTTGCTGGGTGGACGGGCAGGAGCAGAGTACAACAGGAGAGGAGAGCCAAGAAAGGAGACAGGAGAGGACTTACCTCTTTGGCCACACAGGAGGGGATCATTCTGTGGGGATGGTGCTGAGACATGTCCCCAGTCCAGGTGGCAGTTGATAAGGGAGCTGAAGATGCCCAGAGAAAGCAGGAGTATGTGATCCCCTTGGTATGGGGGATGAAGTCTTGTGGGGAGCCAGGGGACAGTCCTACTCCCATGCCATGTCCAGCACACAGAACACTGGGCTCCAGCTGGTCCCACACTCACACAGCTCAGTTTGCCCCTGTACCTCAGGTTTGTGCTTATGGGGTGACCTGCCTGGCAGACCCTTCATGCCCTCATGTCCCTCACTGCCACAGCACCTGAGAGGTGCAGGCAGTGACTAAACATCCAGCTCTGCAGACCGAAAACCCAGGGCTGACCATTGCCTGGCTCCATGGAAACTCCTTGCCACAGGATCAGGCCCTTTGTGCCCATGGTCCTTGCTGGGCCAAGCATCCTCCAGAGGACCAGGGGCCCCTGTGGAAGCAACTGTGGTCTGGTGGCTATGTGGCTGGGGCACCTGTGGTGGCAGCAGTGCTTGGGTCACCTGGCCAGCCTACTCCTACCATGTCTTTGTGAGCTAGAGGTGCAGGGCTGGCACGTGCATGCTGCATCCCTTGGGCAGCGAGAAACAGGCGGCTGGGGCTGTGCGTGCTCCTTGCCGGAGGCAGCCTATCATGCTGTATTGACCCACACAGAGGCAGAAACATGTGTGCCATGCACAGATCGATGGGAAGATTGAAGATGCATGTGCGCTTGCCGGACGACTGGGGAAAGCTTTGTCGTTGGCATTGGCAGCACAGTGAAGGTCATGCTGACCTGCGGCGCAGTCCCTGAGGAGAGGCGAGGCCTCTTGTCGCGCTCATGGGCGGCTGTCTCATCACTTGTCCTCCGGAGACCCTGGATTCCCTGCCAGGCACGCACCTTCTCAGCAGAGCCATGTCTGCTGCGGGGGGAAGGGGGGGGTACCCAGTCTGGACTTGTTCTGGGAACAGGGAGCTGGTGTTACTCCCACCACTGTGCCACAAAGCAGTGTCACAGAGGGTTGCTTGACTTGTGAGTGAGTGAGTGAGTGAGTGAGTGAGTGAGTGAGTGAGTGGGTTGGTTCAGCCTTTTTAGCTGTGCAAACCCTCCATCACCAGCTGGTGAAACCAGGGCAGGAAGCTGAGAGAGATCAAAACTTGCTGGCAGAGGTGTTATGCATTGGGAACAGACAGACCCAGGTGTCATGTGGTTGGTGCCTCAAGGTTGAACCCATCACCTCATGACTGAGCCACGCTAGCAAAGCCCCACTGCCGCCGGCAGGACGGAGCAGGAGGGCACCCTGCTTGTCACACTGCCTGCAGGGCACTGCTTCCACGGGAGCTGGGTGCTGCCTGGGGCTGTGCGCAGGGTCGACGGTAGCGTGCCCTAGAGGGAGCAGACCCTGGGAGGAGCAAGGGCTCGGCAGGGCAAGACAGGATGGGGGCTACGCCGGTTCAGCCTTTCTAGCAGAGTTGGTCACTGTCTGTGGTGTCCCTCATTTCTTGTGCTCTGCCGTGGAACAATGAGGAGCAGCGAGGGAGGGAGGGAGGGAAGGGGGGCAGAAATGAAGCCGGAGGAACCCATCCCGTGTGCAAAGCGAGCGCAGTGGAGAGAGGGGCGGCGGACACGGGGAGCGGGGGGCGATACTGCCGCCCTCCTGGCTCCGGGGCACCGAGGAGCACGGCGGGGGCGGGGGAGGCACAGGAAAGTGCACCCCTGGCGCCCCGCGTTCAGCCCCGTTCCGGCGGCGTTTCGCCGGCCCGATCCCGCCGGGACAGCCGGAGCCGGGAGCGGGACGGCCGTGACACGGCGCTGGGCGCCGTGGGTCGCGGCGGGCCGCGGCAGGGAGGCGGTTAACGGCCAGGGAGCCGCCGAGGCAGGAGGAGTCCGCAGGCGGGCGAGCAGGAGGGGGCCGCCGGGCGAGCTGCCCGCAGGCTGCCCGCCCCCGCCGAGCCACGCCGCGCTCTGCCCCGGGGCGCACGGGCTGGCGGGGCACGGCGGGGCCAGGCGGAGAGCGCGGCGGCAGCGGCGACAGCGGGGGACAGGCTTCGTGCCCCGCCCGCCACGGCACGGCTCGGCATCGCACGGCGCGGCGCGGCACGGCGCGAACGACTCGGTATCGCACGGCGCGGCACGGCTCGGTTCCGCTCGGCACGGCTCGGCTCCGGCAGCTCCCGAGCCATTCAAACAAGTGGCTCCGGCAGCACTTCGGGGCCAGAGCTGGGGAGCGGGCGCAGCGTGGCTCCCTGCCCCGGAGGCGCCGGGCCCTTCACACTGCCTCTTTTCTCTGACGCTTGCTCTTTATTTGACGATGAAATAATGTTGACATGTCTTGAATTATTAAGTATTCCCTGGATTTTATTAGCACATGATGCCTAAATGCTGCCTGTATCTGCTGGGGTCTTAACCAGAGAGGAGCGAAGGAGAGAGGCAGAGAGACAGAGCGAGGGAGAGGAGAGAGAGGGGTTTTTGACAGCTGTATTTGTGCTGATAAGCGAAGGCACAAGGAGACGATCGACTAGTGAGACAAGAGGGAAGCGGCGGCTCGGAGCTGCTGAGAGGGGCTGCGCTTCCCTCCCGAGACGGCTCGGCCCTCCCAGTGCCGTGCTGGGGCTTGGGGGGGACCCGAACCCCCTCCCAGCGCCTGGCCGGGCTCTCGGCCGGTGCCTGTGCCAGGGGGCAGCTCGCTGGCTGGGCACACCAGCTGCACGGGGCAGATGCCGATTGAGATCGTGTGTAAAATCAAATTTGCTGAAGAGGATGAGAAGCAGAAGGAGAAAGAAGAAGGGGACAAGGAGAGCCTGATCGAGGAGCCTGCCCGGCCCCGCTCCCGGGATCTGGCCACCTTCGCCAGCACCAGCACGCTGCACGGCTTGGGACATATCTGCCGGTCGGGACGGCTGGGCGTGCGCCAGACCCTCTGGGCATTTGCCTTCCTGGCCTCGCTCGCCTTCTTCCTCTACCAGGCGGCCAAGTCAGCGCTGCTCTACCTGGAGCACCCCCACGTCATGGCCCTGGACGAGGAGGCCATCCGAGAGATGGTCTTCCCCGCCATCACCATCTGCAACATCAACCGCTACCGCCACTCGGCACTCACCGACGCCGACATCTTCCACTTGGCCAACATGACCGGACTGCCCCCCAAGGACCGGGATGGTCACAAGGCCACGGACCTGCTCTACCCTGACCCTGACATGGCTGACATTGTCAACCGCACCGGCCACCAGCTCGACGACATGCTCAAGAGCTGCAACTTCAGCGGCGAGAACTGCTCATCCCGTGATTTCACTGTGGTGAGTGCACACCTGGCTCAGCTTCCCTAGGGGCCCCTACCGGCACGGGGGGCACCCGCCTGTCCGCGTCACACCGGAGCAGGGCTCCCCGGCTCACTCCGGCTGCTGAAGTTTGCATCTCTCTCTGTTTGAGTTTCCCTCCAAGTTTCACATGGAGAGAGGGAGAGGATCCTCCGTGGGAGCTCTCAGCAGGGCTCTGCGCCACAGGACTGGGATGTCGGCAGGTCTGTGCCTGAGGGGCTCACGGGCAGGAGCCGCTGTGGGTGAGCAGCAGGGTTCAGTGGTCCCCAGGGTGGGTGTGCAGCGGCCAGGGGGAAAGCTATGGCATAGAGTCCTGCTCCAGCCTTCTCTTCCCCCGGATCAAAGTGCCCTGACGCAGGGTGCTTTACTTAGGGAGAGGGGCTGGAGCAGGGGGGCAGGCAGAGACCCCTTTGCACACAGGGGAACCTTCCTGCATTTGCGGGGTTAGCACTGGGATGTGTGTAAATGTGGAGACTGCCGGCATTGCACACGCACGTGTGCACATGCTGAGCACAAATGCCGAGCCGCTGTTCTCTGGAGGCACGGATACAGCCGGGCGAGCGGGGGGCTGCCCGGGGCTGCCCACTCACTGTCCGGGACTGGAAGCAGGGCCTCTTCCAAGCGGCGCCCAGTCTGCCCAGGCAGAAAGCCCCTGGCCGACCGCCGCCAGTGTACAGCTCTCACCAATATTGAGCCTGGAAATCACAAATCCCCGCTGTGGTTTGGGAAAATAAATGTGCTGAACGGGCGGAATACCTGATGGGACCCTTTTCAGACCTTAATGACTCTGGAAATGAGCCGCCTCTCTCCTACGGCTGCCAGGGGCTACTGCTCAGCTGGCTCCTACGTTCTCAGGAGCTGTGCTCCCAGCCGGACCCCGCTCCGTGCCGGCGAGTGGGGTGTGATGCCATGGGCTGTGCAGGATACTGGGGAAGAGAGGAGGCTCCGTGGGGCTGGAAATGGCTGATGCAGCATGTTCCGTTTCACTTCTTGCCCATCGGTAAAACGCCTGCTCAATGTGCAGAGTGATGCTGTCCCTGAGAAGAGACTTGGCGGGGGGGGTGCTGCCTTGTGCGGGGTGGTGGTGGTGGCATGGGGCACTGCAGTGGAGTGGGAAGGAGCGGGTGACAGCCCCACTCCTCCTGGGGATTTGCTGGGCTCTGTGCCTGCTCTACGCCAGCTGCTTGAGTTTGCCGGGGAGCAGTGTGGTTCAGCAGGGTTTGGAGCAGGAAGCTCTGGTGCTGGACAGTCCTGCACGTGCCTTGGCCATGCTGACTTCAGCCCTGTGATCTTCCTGGAGGATCCTGCACAGCTTTGGTTTGTGGGGGAGGCAGCGAGCCCAGCCTTGTGCTGGGCAGTGGCACAGCGTGACAATGGGATTTGGTGTGTGCTGAGCCGCGCTGTGATGTTGGCAGGGCAGAGCTCAGGTGTATGGGGTGGTACAGGCTTCCCACAGCATGGACAGAGTGTGTGACATGTGTTGTGCTGCGTGGCAGTGAAGGGTGACCACCAGGATAGTCACTGAGACCCAGTTTCTCAGCGTGTAGCCGTGCGGGACCAGCTGGCCTGCCTACCTCATCTGCTTATGAGTATGCCCTGGGGATGCCCAGGCAGCCGGACTCTAGTGTGCCAGCACCCTGCACTGGAGCAGATTTCAGGCATGAGAATGGCTAGTGCCAGCTGACCCATGGGCTCATGGCCGAAGAAGGGGAGTATAGGGCTCCTAAAGGCTCCACCCACCCTGTCCACAGCTCAACATTTCTGGCTTTTGAGACATCAGGGACTGTCAGCAGAAAGGGGTGTACCTGTCACCTCTCACTTGCCTGGAGAAAAGGGGTGAACGTGGGGCAGGAGAGGCCGCGGAGATGGGTGTAGGGAGGGATAGGTGAAGATGTGATACACTTCTCAGCCACATAACATGTCCCGAAGCCTTGCCAGGCAGCAGTAAGACCTGTCAAGGCATCACACCATTTACAGCTGGAGCCTTCTACTCCCATTCTCTGAGCCAAATCGGTCCCTTGTACCTCCTGGGAATGACTGAAACACAGCACAGGCTTCTTGGCAGGCGAGTTGAGTCCCAGCTGTGCTGTGTGGGCTTGGGCACTCCTGTGCCTCCTGGCTGTGGTCCAGTGAAGGGGCACCCAGGCTGCCCATATGGTGGGGAGCTTCAAGCTTTGCTGGTCCCATTTCTGGGTCCCCATGTGTGCCTTCATGTTCAGAAAGCTTTTGTACCCGCTCTGCTGTGGGCGAGCGTGTGAGTCACAGCATGTCCTAGCAGTGATGGAGGGCTCCCAGACTGCAGCACATCCCAGTAGGGCAAATGGCTTGGGCTCCCGGGGCACCCAGCACACAGTGAGCATCCTCTATAGCAGAAGCTGTTCCACAGTGATGCTGGAGAAGGGAAGAAGCTTTCCCTGCAGCAATGCTTGCAGGAGTGCTGGAGTCTTTCCTTCTCTCTGGGCATGAGGTGGACTTTGTCCTGAGGCTGGAAGTTTTTCAGCATGAGAGTGGCCAAGGTGTGGAGCTGCCACCAACTGCCTGTCCAGGAGCAGGAGCAGCACCAGGGCTGGAGCATGTCCCCTCGCACTGCTGCTTGCAGCCTGTTCTCACACAATAAATAACTTGCGCGGATCCTTTAAGTAAGAGCCGTGAGTGGTAAATGATCTTCCCCTATTTAACGTCACAAATCCACATTCTTTATGGGACAGCAAATTAAGAAACTATCGGGAAAAAAAATCCCCAGCGTAAGCATCTTCCTTGTAATAAAGCCCGGCTGGGCTGTAAATCTCCCCAGCGGCAGGGACAACCCTGAGCCGCAGCGAGGCTCCCTGCAGCCCCACTGACAAATGTGCCCCCTGCGCTGGCTGCTAGAGGGCCGGGCCTTTTCTGACCCTATTGAGTTGTGCCGTGCTCCGCAGACCCCAGCCCTGCTGTGCCCAGGGCACTGCCCGGTGCTCGCCAGCTCACGGTCCCATGGGTGCCTTGGTGAGGATGCCGGGCATGGAACACTCCTGGCTGGGCCAGTGCAGCTGCAGAGCTAAGGGTGCCGGTGCAGGAATCAATGGCGCTCTTTACATGCCATTAAACAGGAGATTGGGAAGTGTCCCCACGGGGCTGGGGGCTGGGGCTGAGCTGCCGTGGGTGGTTTGTGCTCACCCTAACCTCTTTGCCTGGCATCCCGGTACAGCCACAACCCGAGGCCAATTCTGGCCATGTCAGGTGGTGCTGAGGGAAGAGGGAGCCTCCTTGACAGTGCTTTGGAGATGGGGGTGCAGATAGATGGGGTGTGCAGGAGTTTGGGGGCTGTGGGAAGAAGTGCATGGAGGGGCCCCCTCAGTTGGCAGCAGCATGCCGCCTGTTTGCCGGCAGTGGCTGCAGTAGGAGCCTCTGCCCGCGGCCGGGCAGGAGCCCAGTGCCTTTCTCAAAACCTCATTCGTTGTCAAAAGCCTTTTGTTTGTGATGTGTGGCTGCCGAAGCCAGTTGTGCCGGGGCTGGAAGCTGTGGGGGGAGCAGGGAGGTTGCCGAGAGCTGGCAGTGCCTCTCGGAGCTGGCACCAGCCCCAGCTCTCCATGCCAGGCCTCCTGCCTGCCTGGGATGTGGGAAGTGTGAGGGGTCTCCCCAGTACTCCATGCAGACCCCAGAGGGGAAAGCCCTATGCTGAGATGGGCAACATCCTCAGCTGCATTCCACATGCACACAAGAGATCCTGGCTCAGGGGGTGGAGCAGAGGCAGCAGGCTGTTGCCTCTGCCTCCTCCCAGCAAGGCTCTCACACTGTGCCTGACATGGGGACTCTCTGACCTTTCCACCAGAATCGTACTTAATAAATGTCACATTTTCAGCCTATTTTTACTGGGTAAAAGAGGTGGACTGACTGTGTTTCACCTGCCCTGCCTGGTGCCTGCTCAGCGCCTGGCATTCAACCACTCAATTTTCCCTGTACTCTTGTGTAGGGCTGGGGTCCCCCCATCTGCTCAATGGGCTCCAGTCACTGCAGAACTTGCCCTGGCTGGAGTGCAGAGTGGCTCCGGGGCCAGGCAGTGCCATACGGGTCCCAGCACAGCATCATGTCCTTTTGAGGGTGGCATGGCTCTGACTATGATGGGTGTCCTACCATGCCTGGGAGGGACTGGCTGGGCTGGGGCTGGTGATGTCAGTGCCCAGGAGAGGCTGGAGCATCCCTCACTGATCCCATGCCTGTGAGCTGCTCAGCTGAGCCCATCTGTGTCCATCTGGGTCGCAGTACTCCACTCACTGCATCCACATCCTGCAGTCCCAGCCCAGTGCCTGAGCCAGCTACCCAGGGGCTCACAGCCCATCTGGAACCCTCCATCTTCACAGTCTGGCCACTGTGCTTGTGCATTTCCAGGCCTATGTCCCAGGTAGTGCAGGCATGTTGCAGGTTGGCCGTGCTCCTGTCCAGGGCGGCAGCAGCAGCATCTCCGGCGCTGTTACACATGAGCCGCCTGGGCACGGCTCGAGGCGCTGTTTGTGCCAGAAACGGGGGACTTTAATGCAATTCGTTGCCATTTAATTTTACACAATTCCTGCTGCTTAATCCGCTGAGAAATGCTAATTTATACAATTCACGTCTAAAAATAAATGTCAGTCCAGCAGCTCCCAGCAGTGGGTAGCTGCTCCTGCCAGCCCCCACCAAAGCCTTCTGCAGGGACCCCAGTCTGGAGCCCACCTTGCTCCCTGCCAGCCTTGCTGCTACTCCCTGTCCCAGGTGCTCAGGCTTTGGCAGCTTTGTCTGGATTTCGGGATAATGGGATTCTGGGACACTGTGGTGGGAGAATAAGGGGTTGGCTTGCATGTAGGGCTGTCACTACAAAGTCTCTCGTGACAGTGGGGCAGGGTGACAAAGGGACAAGCAGTTGTCTTGGCAATCTGACTCTCTTTCAGATTGTTGGGGAGACATTATTGCTGTGGGGGTGTCTTTGAGACCACTGCTTCCTCATGAATTCCCCCAATAAATCT